ACACACACACACACACACACACACACACACACACACACCCCTATGCAAAATACCTTTTACCCAGAAACTGGCTAAGCCGTATATTTAAAAATTGCAACATTTACCATTTTTCTTTCTGGGAAAAATATGTTTTGAATTTCCACAGGGAACGCAGCCTCTCTATGAAGTCTTAGCTTCTTGAAGAAAAAATTCTTCTTGCCTTGATAGCAGAGGGTTTCCTCTGCCTCATTCCTGGGTGGGAGAAGACGTTGTACCTCTGCATGGTCGGTCGTGAGTCTTTCCTCTTCTTGCCAGTTTGTGGCAATGCTCCTGGGAAGAGAATCCCTCCCACGGTAGGACTGGCAAGAGCCAAATCTGGCACGATTGTTCTTTTATTAGACAGCACATCAGGTGTTTATCTTGAGGTGGCCTGTGCTCTTTCTTTGAATCCCTCATCTGTGAAATGTTCTGTCCTTCAAATCTTTTTAAAATGCAAGTCTGAAACACTCTCTCCCCAGCTTCTAGTTACCTACCAAATCAATTCCAAACTCTTGGGCATAGCGATAATTAGCTCCTCGAGACCGGATTCCTCCTTACTCTTCCAGCTTCATTCTAGCTCTCAGTGGATGCTATAGCCAGAACCTGGGTTTTCTCCCTCCGTGCTTTTAGATACACTGTTGCCTCTGCCTGGCTAGCCTTCTCCATTCTCTTCCTAGTTCTTTCTGATTTGTCCTTGAAGACTGCTTAGCTGGCACTTCCTTTTGGCAACCTGTGATGCATCACCTTATGGCCACCCTCAAGTGTGAATGAGTGTATTCCCTAATACACTCTGGGCACCCTGCCCACACCTCTCGCCCAACACTGATCCTAAGGCGGACAGGTGTTCATTTACGTATTTGTCTCCCCCAGGAGACTGAAACCCCGGAGATCAGAGATTAATCTCTGCATTCCCTGGGCCCAGCTTCTAGCATATTATAGGCACTCAAATACATGCTGAAATAGGGAATGGAGTAGATGGGAGGGCGCCTGTGACCATGACTACCTGGAACAACCAGATTCCAGTGATGGAATTAATATCTGGAGGGGAAACTAGAACACCTGCGAAGAGCCCCTTGCAGTCAGGTTAGAGGTATGAGCTTCTTGGAAAGAAGCCCTTAAGTTAGGTCAGACTGGCTCCAAAGAAATTATTCTAGAGGTTTATATGGGGTAGATAAGTTGTGGGGTAGGGGAAGAGTGTCTCAACCAGAAGTGATTTTTGACCTCCAGAGAACATTTGACAATGTCTGGAGACGTTTTGGTCGCAACCAAAGGGATGAGGGTGGTGATACTGGCATCTGGTGGATAGAGATCAGGGATGCTGGTGATCTACTACAGGACACAGGAAGCCTCCTACAGCAAACAATTAACGTGATCCAAATGTCAGTAGTACTGCATTTGAGAAACCCTGCTGGGTAGTAACACTGAGATGTCCACCTATGCTCTGTTTTTTAAGTCGATTTAAAGCTAATGAGACTTGGTAAGGTGTAATTTTTGATGTAAGAAAAACAGTAGAATCTAGGAGATGTGAGTTCTAGCCCTTGCTGTAGAAAAAGTTAGATGTGTCTACTAAGGCAAGTCCCTTCACCCTTCTGGATCTCTTTTTTTGTTCCACTAAAATGAGAAGGGTCAGATTAAGGCCCCTTCCAGTTCTAACACTCCATGCCTCTAAAACCAGCTCATATGTCTCATCAGAACCACTAATGGTTTAAAAAGAGTTGTGACCACACATTGAGTTTTTCACATTGGCTAAATTTCTTTCTATTCAGAAATGAGAAGGGTTCTTGATCCCCTGCTCCAGCAAGACAACCAGTGGCCACCGTAACAATATCCCTTAAGAAATGAGACAAGAAAGAACTCATATTATAGTTTAAAATATTGCCTCCCAGGTAGCAGTACTTGTCTGCACATGATATTTATGAATGTTTTCCAACAGTGTCCACTACGTATCAAGAACAAGGGAAAGGAAGGCACCAACATTAATGCTGAGAGTTCAGGTCTGAATATCTGCTTTCCTAGATTTT